CCTTCCTGTTGCTAAATAATGCAAAGTCACCGCCAGTTTTTCTGTTGGCGAAATTGCAGCTCTCATAACTGTATCTTGCTTAGTTATATATGGGCTGATTAATTCAAGAATATGGTCGAAACTTTCAGTGGAGATCCGAAAGTAATTTTCGTAGTCGCTTAATTCCTTGCAAAGTCGAATCGAATCCAATAATCTCAAATGAGTGTACCTATGCCGCTCCAGGTACCATCTTTGACTCCAATACTTCCACTTTGTTTCTTTTTTTAATGAAAATGCCAGTAATATGGCTAAACACGCTCTTTTAGAATTTTCTTGCATTTTTCTTATTTAAAAACGACTTGCACAGTTCAAAAGTTTGAAAATAATGACGCGATAAATATTGAAGGTGTAGCATAGCAGAGAGTGGAGCATCATGCATCAATATGGATCACGATACTGGATCGCGATCCATATTGATCGTGAGACAGGGCCCAATGTGATAATCGTGTGTAAAAACTCTTTTCAACTATTATTTTTAACAAAATAATTTTGCGGATCAGATTGCTCCGAGCGCTTGTGTGGTTTACCAAGAAAATGCAGCCCTGTTGGTTTTTATTTCTGTATCGCATCGCGGTGAGTTTCTATTTCTTGGTAATTCGGTTTGTGAAGTGGTAAACAAATTATAGAAATTTATTTGTTTGATGTGTATAACATTTCATTAATGCAATTTTCTGTCTTTTCAGACTATTAATTACAAACACAGCATCATCATGATGATTGCAAGAACTACTGCAATCCCTGCGGTTTTTCCTCTTGGTAAATGCGTTCTGGTCGTGACCAAGGGTGGTCTCCCAAATCGGCCGGGAATAAGGTTAGTCATTTTAAATTTTATATCTTTGTTCGTCGACATTATATGACATGTCATCATTGCAGGCTATTGTTTCAGAACAAAACGCCGCAACGACTGCTGTGGTAAATATGTTTCAGCAGAACTGCCCACCGCCGTCGGTGTAATGATTTCGATAGCTGAACAAACGCCATCTTCTGGGCATTCCCACAGCTTGCCGACACTAGCTATTATATCACGTGTGAATGCAACTGCGGCTAAATTTGGTTATTAACAGTGCAATAGTACCATGTCATTGGCAAAAACAATAGTGGCTGCTGGCACATAGAGGTTGTAAAGTTTTTGGTATCGATGAATTTACTCGAAGAAGACGATGGCCGAAAACATATGTTGGCATGCCTTTGACAATCGTTAAGTCAGACGGAGGCTACACATACGATCTTTCACACAAGGCTGGAATTCGTTAGCGGACAGAGCACACATTTACAAAATATTTATCGTTCTGCAGAACGTTCATGCATATTCGATTCCGATTTTATGGGTCGATTACGGAGGACAACCGAACTTCAGTTGGTAGGCCAGTAGCTGAAATGGTATTACCGATGGCAACTAGCAACTGAAAGCTGGCAACTAAGTTGCTATATTGGCAACTGCATTTTTGTGGCTGCCGGGAAATTTTGATTGAGATACTTTATTTCTTTTTTCAACTTTTTTTTTTAATTGTACCACCTTGAACTTTATGAAACTTAATTATTGCTATTCATAATAAAAAACATTTTCATTTCAGTGGCGCTGTCCATCGGCAACCCAACTGAGGTTCCGTTCCCATCCATAATCGATCCATAAGTCATAATCGCACGAACTAATCAAGGCTATCATAGAATCCATCGTAGTCCGATTTTTCGTGAAATCTACGAAAATGCTATTAAGTTCGAGTGGCTACGAACGCAGCGCTTGCTTTTGATACACACGTTCATAGCAGTTCAGATTCAGTGATCGCTTTTTCGTAGATTTTAAGAAAAATCGGACTACGATGGATTCCGCCACCAATATGTTTTCTCCTTTGACAAGATGTTGGAGAATCGCGGCAGCACAGCCGTATACCTACTCTATGCTCTTACGCGCATATGCTAAATTCCTCGCACCTAGCTAAAGTGCTTGACAGAGGCATATCTTCAACATTATAACTTAAAGTAAAAAAGTTTAAGGCACGCAAGAAAAGAATACAACAGAACCAAAAAATGTTCTCAAAACTATTACACATAAAAAATTGCACGAATAAAATTCATAATTTAAAATAAAATATCGCAATTGTTTTTTATATGTACATACATATTTACAAAATGAATCTTAAAGCACCCACAGTAAGTCCTAAACATATAAATGACTAATAAGAAAAATAATAAATAACAGTAATATGAAAAAGTATGTCGAGAAATCTTTAAATAGTAGCGAAACTATCTCAATAATAACAAGTAATTTTAAGCAAAAAATACATCCGACTTCAATGCGCATTCAGGTCGATCTGGTTACGTAGATCTGACTGTCCTCCCTTTTTTTAAAATCGTTAAAAAAATTAATACGTATTCTACAGAAAAAAAATCAAGATACATATTTAAGGATTTTAAGTAAAAATAAATAAACGAAAACTTGCTCGTGATATCTCGACCAAGGTGTGTTTATGATACAAAAATCTGAAGGTAAAACCGCTGAGAGGCAGCCTGAACATTTTTAAAGTTTGCTAACATTACAAAAATGTTTTCAAATTTCCAATCTCACAAATACATTCTCATTTTCAGTCTCAAATAAATGAAAATTTCAATATTTTCATCTATTTGTTTTTTGTTTTACTTTTATTTGGCATTTGAGTTGCTCTGAAATATTCAATTTTATAAAATAGACAAACTTCAAAAAATAAATGATGGTCGACGAATTTGGCAAGCGGTTTTACCTTTAAATATTTGTATCATGGGTGTATTTAACAAGGGGCCGTATGCATAAAACTTAAGCAAATGCTTTTTCTTAAAATTTCAGATTTCAAATTTTTTCAAATAAATTTAAGTGAAAGGTTTGAAAATCTGAGAAAAAGTAATTGCTTAGTTTTTATGCATACGGCCCAAGGTGTTATTGACAACTCAGTGCGGCTCTCTTTTAAGATACTATTATGTAGAAAAATATAAACAAACGATTCAAAATTCATACAAATTTTTTTCAATTTGACTTTATAGGATGGTTCTTCTGAGAGCATGGTCAAATTCAATCACGCTTTGTTAAATACATTTTGATCTCTACCAAATAATATACTTCCTTTGTACAAATATTATGAAGTGTTCCAAAATTCGCTCCGAGCGCGTTCACTGTTGATCATTTTATTTAAATAGTTTGTCAAACAATTAATACTATAGTTTGATCGGAGTTAATATAGTTTTCAGTAATTAATTATATTATATTAAAACATAAGCTTAAGAGAAATTATTTAGTCTTAACATGCATATTTTATATCGTGTTCCAAAATTCGCTCCGAGCGCGTTCACTGTTGATCATTTTATTTAAATAGTTTGTCAAACAATTAATACTATAGTTTGATCGGAGTTAATATAGTTTTCAGTAATTAATTATATTATATTAAAACATAAGCTTAAGAGAAATTATTTAGTCTTAACATGCATATTTTATATCGTGTTCCAAAATTCGCTCCGAGCGCGTTCACTATTGATCTTTTGATTCAAATATTGTTTGTGAAGCATTCAGTAGTGAAGTTTGATCGCAGTTTATATATTATATAGTAATTAATCATATTAAATTAAAATATAAACGTATAATATGGTAGAAAGTTAGAAATTATTTAGTGTTAATATGCATAATTCTTTTTTTTTTTTGAATTCTGTTTGTTCAGGTGACCTTAGCGGAACACACAACACCAGGTTATTCCTCCTTGTTTCATATGCCGTGCACTAGTAGCGTGAGAACTTATTCGTTGTCCGGAGTTTCTTGTCGATGATGGCCAATGTGATTGTCATACGAGCGTGTACAGGAAAACGTGTAGCGAGTGAGTGCAAATTAGACGGTTTGCACTGGTTGACACATATGAGTTGTAGCGAGTGTCCAAGGTGGACTCTATGTGACTGGACTAAGTGGAAACGATTTTTTGGTAGTTATTCAATATACATATTAAAGAAACGAGACATGTAAACATATAATTGGTGATATGAGCATATTGACAGCATACCTATTGTATGCATGATAAAACTTAAAAATTAAATTTGGCTTTTTGTAAGAAACGAGAGGGTTGAGTAATCTTGGTTAAGTCTTTTTGGATAAAAATCTCCTCAAATGTGCATGAGTTGTTGACAACTGGGAAACTTGATCTTAAATTATTAAAAAAGCGATAGCTGAAGGTTAGGTGCACGTAATCGTCTATTTGACCACAACGGCATCTTGAATTTCTAACAGCTTGTATTTTGCATAAATATGCATTGTCATAAGTATGTCTTGTGAGGATCCTGTTAAGTGTCTTTATGTCGGACGGGGAAAGCGAAAGCTTTCTAAACCAAGTATGATTTCTTCTAACCGGAAAGATTTTGACAAATAAATTCGGATTTGAGCGCGAGTAGCTCAGAAATTCTGTGTACCATTGATTATGGATTTCATTTTTGATCTGCTTTAAGGCTTCGTCTACAGTGAGGTTTTACTACTTTGAGTGGACTATCAGCAGTGGCGGCTTTAGCTAATTCATCGGCCTGTTCGTTACCATGAATGCCTACATGGCCAGGAGTCCATATGAGGCACACATGTATGTCACCGTGGCTAGTCAATCTTTTGTGTATTTTGTGAGCAATGCTGTTCTTTGAGCAAGGATTATTGAGGATATGACAAGCGGCTTGACTATCAGTGAAGACAACAAGGCGCGTGCGATTATCCTGGATTGCAATGTTGACTGCCTCATCAATTGCCAGGAGCTCTCAAAAGGTGGAGGAAGCCCTGAAGCCAATTTGAAAAGAGTGCATTTTGTTGGACGTGTGGTCATATACTCCACACCCGGTGTTATCCTCAGAGATTGAGGCATCTGTGTACATGATATGGAAACAGCCGGCTTGGTATTCATTTAGAACTGAAAGGTGATGAGCTTTAATACTTTCATTAGACATATCTGATTTTTTCCTAGGGAGACTTTTTATGCAAACTTTCAAATATTGGAAGGGAGGAATCCATCAATCGCATCAACGCGATCCAAAAGGCGAGAAAATCTATTGTAAACAGAAGAGTAGCTAGAATTTATTGTGGAACCAGACATTAACAAGCGTGCGATGGGGGAACGTATGGAAAAGAGGTTTACCAATTCTTTGGCAGTAAGCCAGACAGATCTTTCCAGCGGCGGGAGCTCGTTGGAGAGGGCATATATTAAGGGAATCGGAGTCGAGGGGGTTACGCCTAGACACCTGCGCATGAATTTGTTTTGAAAAGTGCGAATTTTTTGGAAGCAGAGACGGAACTATTGGCAGTCGTGGTAGAGCAATATTCAATTTTAGATCTCACAACTGATTTGAAAATGTTTAAGGATATTTGGGGGTGAAGCCCTGATTTAATATTTGTTAAAAGTTTAAAGAGGTTTATGTTATTTGCAGCATTTTTGACTACCATGGAGAAGTGATCGCCAATTGAAAGAGAGGAGTTAATTACCCTGCCAAGGACCTTGATGCTGTTGGTTTGTGTGATTGTGACGCCTATGATTATGTCCTTTTTTGGACCTCTTGTCACATGCATAAGGTGAGTTTTCGTAGGATAAAATTAAGATTTAAGAGATTGCACTTGTGGGAAAAATTGTTTAGTTTGTTTTGAAGGTTACTTTGAGCACCCAAAAGACTTGAGCCACACGAAATTATAAAGAAATCGTCCGCGAACTGGAATAAGTGTGTGTCATCATCATTGAGATCATGGAGACTGGCCGTATAGGCGTTAAAAAGTACAGGTGAGAGGCAGCTCCCCTGGGGGAGACCATTTTTAATTTCTATGGTGTTGGATCCCAATCGTAGTACCCTGAAAGCCATTCAACATAGTGTTTTTCAATCCTTTTCAAGAGCACTATATCTACGCAATTATATGCATTAGATATGTCCGTAGAACAGAAGATGACATGTTTTTCTTTTGGGTTCTGAGGATGCTGATCTGGTGGAGAATGTGATTTAGACACATGGCAGAGGATCTGTTCTTGCGATATGCAAATGTGTTAAAAGGAAGCATATTGTTTTCTTCCAGGAAAAGGTTGATTCTATCTTTGATGCAAGTATTGATTAATTTGAGTAAAACGGTGATTAGTGCTATGGGTCTAAAATTTCCATAGTCATTTAAGTCGCAGTTTTTTTTAGGGATGGGCACAACTTTAATAATTCTCCAGTGGTCCGGTATCTGGTTAGAAAGAAACATGTCATTGAGCGAGGTTTTTAAATTTGCAAGGGCAAGGTCTGGGAGAGCTTTGAGCATCTTATAAGTGATAAAGTCATGTCCAGCAGCTGAGTCCTTTTTTTTTCTAAAACAGATTTGATGTCATCAAAAGATAGCAAAATGTTTGAGTTGAATTCCACGGGTTGATTAATTTCTAAGCTGTTTTGTTGGTTGGGTACTTGGTTGCTTAACATGTCTAAGAACTCCTGGTTGTTTTCCTGGTTCCATACCTCACTTCTGGATTGAACATAGCCGCCTCTTAGAGCCCTGACAAAGCGCCATGTGCCTTTGGACATGCCACAATTGAGCGCGCAAATTTTACTTTTGAAATTCTCCTTTTTTGCCACAGTTTTTGTTGTGTAATTAGTGACTCAAAATTCTAGGGACTGGGTGAGTTTTTCGCCTTCTTGAAGGCGATTACTAAAAAGTGGTAGGTTTTTTCCAGGTGTTCATTCCACCTCGCTTTAGGTGTTCTGTTGTCATCAGGTGTGTATCTAGCATTATTTATTTCTTGTTTAATTTTGTCTTCGAAGTCAGTGATCGACGCCTCGCATTCAAGTGTTTTTAGAGAGTTAAACAGTTTAGTTTTAGCAACAAATGTACCGTTTCTTTTAGTAATGTTTGTCAGTTCAATGATCACTGGGAAGTGGCGACTGCCCCCTATTCTGGTCGCATCAACTTGTGACTTGCACACAATGCCAGAGTTGGAGAAGCAAAGGTCGAGGATCGACCCACTATTTACACGAACGTCGTGTCGGTAAGTATAATTACCGTCATTAAAATTGTAAAAATTGGATTGTAGAATGTGCTGCGCCAGATGCTTACCTCTGTGCGAATCCATGCCATTACCCCAGATAGTAGCC